AATTGCAATAACTTCTTGGCCAGCAGATTTCAGCAAAAGTATTTTTCTGAGACCTTGGATTGGCCTGGGCAAAATAATGTATATTTTATTTATTATTTTTATTTTATTTATTAAATTTATATAGCCGTCCATCTCACACATGTGACTCTGGGTGGTGCAATTTTCAGTTGTACAGAATACAGGTAGCTCATGGATGAACTGGTGGGTTCTTGGTGTTCTCTGAGCTTGGTTGTTTTCCTGCAGACATTTTGCTACCAAGCTAGATAATATCATCAGTGCATGGGAGAATGAAGTTTGCCAGTTGTTTATTTATAGTAGCTTGCTCTGCTAGTCTTGGTGAGGATGTGGCTTCCTCCCTGATGGTTTCTTGATTAGGGTATCATTTCTTCCCTGTTTATCTGGTGCTGTTTCTTCCTCATTTGGGTGTTCATTGCTAGGGAGGGTGTGCTCCAGGCTGTTTTGTTTCCTTCCTTGACTTCTGGTTATATCTTTTAAATGATATGTATTTTTGTGTAGGTAGGCACTTTTTAATTAAGTTGTATGGATATCCGTTGCATTGGAAGATGTTGCATAGGTAGTCTTCTTCCTCTTTTCCTCCATGCAATCTGTTGCAACAATGAAAAGGATAACTCTCCCATACGTCCAAACTTCTCTGAGGCAACCAACAGACTACTACAGCCTTTTGGCATCACTGTAGAACACACAACCCATCAAAATCCTTCCAAAGCATCTTAAGTAAACCCCAAAAAGAAGAAAATAGGAGAGATTTACAACATTCAGTGTAAGGACTGTAACAGCCAATATGTAGGTAGAAGATTGGCAGAACACATCCACAGACATCAACGGGCAGTTAGAAGACATAATGAAAACTCCTTAGTTTTTCAACACAAAGACAAGTTCAACCACAATTTCAATTCAATTAATACTTTCGTTCAAGCCAAATCCAAAAATGCTGGGGCGTTCCTGGAAGCGCGACATTCTGACAAGTCAGCCATCAACAGACATACAGAAATAAATCCCACCTACGTACCATTTAAAAGATACAGCTAAAACAAGCAGCAAACTCCACTCCCCCGTGTACTGCTGATGTTACCTAGCCTAGTTACAAAATGTCTGCAGGAACACAACCAATTCATATTTTGTTGTGGAGTGTGTACAGGAGAACAGGTTTGCTGCTTGAACTGCTTTCTGTGCACAATGGTCTCATCTAAGTGGAAAACATATTAATATAGCTTTTCTCGGCCTGATGGGCTCCAGATGTATTGGGATGATAGTTCCCTGAATTCTAGCAGCATAGCCTATGCAGTCCTTGGTGCCATTGGGAGAGTTCTAGGCCAACGCAGTGGTTTCTTTAAAAAAAGTTGACAAATTAATTCCTTCACCAAATGGATTCTTAAGAGCTATCACATGTCGCCCCAATTTTAGTGGGAGAGCCACTTTGACAGTGCTGTATCTCTGGAATTTCTCTCTCCAAATGTCCTGTCCCCTTGGGCATTCTGCTTTCTTGTGGCCATACAGCCTTCCCTGGATCTCCATGGCAAATGAATGGTATTCCTTGGCTTAAACAGTAGGTGTTAAGTTTCTTGATAGTTGTGGAAGCCGCTTTCTTATAACAGACAACTTCAGTCAGCCAAACCAAGTTTTGGCAAGCAACAATGTTAATGCATGCTAGTAAATGAGGCCAGAAATGTAACAGAGATTGGCAGCTATAAACACATAAGTTCCCTGTGGTTGCTTTGGAAAATAAAAATTACAGCATTGAGACAAATGTTTGCAAGTAAATCAGCCTGCTTCCTTCTCTCACCATGAATTATTGGACAGATTTATTTTTGGATGGGTGGAGGAGGGACACGGCCTGTAAGAACATATTGCTTTGCTTTAGCAAGTGTTCACGTTCTTTAAGGCAGACTTCCCCAGCATGGTGCCCCCCAGATGCCTTGACTGTAACTCCAGAATTGTATTGCTTCTGAAGGAAATTGGCTTAGGGGAGTCTGCCTTAAAGAGAAGGGTCAGGATACATCTCAGAACTAGAGTGGGTATGGATTATTTTTGTTATATCTACTTCATGATTCTCTCTGTGGCAGTTAAATGCCCTGAGTGTTTGGTCTGGAAATGTTTTGGCTTTTAGAGTGTTACAGTACCAGCCTGGAAAGAAGGAGAACAGCACTTGTTCGCATACAGAAAGTCTTAGGTTTAGTCTCTGGAATCTTTTGGGCATGAAACACTAATAAGCTGGTCTAATTCAGTAGATGGCAGCTTTCTAGTTGGGAAGGATTCAATGATTGCAGGCAGTTGATCCCAGGCATCCTGTGGCCCCGTAAAGATTTTGGGCTATGGGACCTTTGAGCACCTTCTCTGTGGTTAATAAAAGCTATGTGGACAAGTTGGTGTCACCTGTAGCATTCAGAATGCCTATCAGCCCTTGCTCTTCCAGTATGATGTGAGCTGTATGTGAGCTCAGCTGCCCATTCAGTCCTCCATCTTATTTCATTTTCTGTTTTTTTTCCCCAACAGACACTGTTTTATGACAGCAAGCATAGATAGCCCTGGTTAAGCACCACACCACTGTTTGTTCTGCCTCCTTGGGGTTTTTTATTTTTAAGATTTGCACTTCTATATGTGGTATAGTGGGTTGATCTCATCCCATTCTTAGTAGCCCCGTTCTTAGGAGGGATTTAAGATTATTTTACAAGATTCCTAATCCTAATCAGTCAAACATTTTTTACCTCAAAGAGGCAAAATGATCACTGTAAAATTTATCATTTACCAGGACAGCTTTACTCATTTAATCCTTTAGCAAATTCTGAGCAATGTGCTTCATGCCCATTTAGGTCCGTATTTGGATTTAAACTATAGCTCTTTGACTGGGAATTGTAGTCCTGGCACATACTGTACACAGAGCATCAGGTTGAGAAAGTGTCTGGGGAGAAAAAGATTAGCCCCCTAAGAAGGCTCAGTTACAAAGCCAGCAGTGATTGCAGAGAAGGCAGAAATGGGGACATGGAAAAATTCTCGCTGTTTTGAACAAAAATGTAGCAAGAAAGCCAGGAATGTATCTTTTTGTGGCTGCATCTTTTAAAACCAGTTCATTGAATGGTTGTAGAGGATATAGTATTAATATAATGACATCACCAGGGAGACCAGAATGTTTGATCCCTTTTGTCTTTTTAGATGAGGGGTTGGCACTTATTTTAAAACAAACTAAAACAGACAAATTAAGCCTATTGAAGTTTAATGCCTCTATCTTACTTGGTGTTTTGCTTTTGTTTTGCCAAAACACAATAGAAAATCATGTTGTCAAGTATCACTGTAATACCCTCATGGGAGGAAGTCCTGACGGTCACAAAAAAGATACTTGGGGCTTCAGGTGTCCAGGCCCATGGGTTCCCACTTTTGTTCCAGGGTAAGCATATAAATTGGGAAGAGGCCAGAATAGACAAAATTTTGTATGTTAGAATTCAAATGTTTAAGTTTTAACTTTAAAGGGTCAGTGGAGGCTATTTATTTCTCCTGATTTTTGTTGTTGTGAGTATTAAATTTGAGGCATCATGAGGATAGCAAGAGATTATAGGCCAGGATAAAATTGCAGATACATCCTTTGCTTAGCACTAGGTTGGTGGAACAGTATCCTCTAGCTCTTCTTGGAAGAGACTTTAAAATTTTGAGAGCTCAGAGTCCTACGGATGTTGCTGAGGGCCAATTATCTCAGGACCCATTTGAGGTATCTTTAAAAGTAGTCATCTCAAATGTATGAAATTTCTTTGTTCTCCTGGTGGAGAAGTATTTCCTAGGATTAAAGTATTTTTCTGTGCATGAGTCAAATGGGATAGGGTCTCTTTCATGTCTAAGTTAATTTTGGTATTAATTACCACAGAAAAGCAGCTAACAGATCCATGCAAAAGCTGGGAGAATGCTTTTCATGATCACCTCTTGATCGGCACCCAAATGGTATTTTGAACTATAACTAAGTTCAAGATGGGTCTAGCATATGCTAGAATTTAACAAAAAGAGTTTTCTGGATGTCTGACAGCTGATCGTTTATAGACTTTATTCAGATGACCAGGGCATAGATCAGAGACCCCCAATCTAGCAAACTTCAGATGTCTTGGAACTCACCCATGCTGCTAAAGACTTTCAGAGGGTACTAGATTGGGAAGGCTGATCTACAAGTTTCTTTGACCTATGGAAAATCAGAACATCTTATGGGGCATCTCTGCAGACAATTTATTATCTAGAACAGTAATTATTTATAGTGTAGGATGACCAAGAATGTGATTTAGATCTCTTATGAGTCTGGAATGCAAATGCGGGTTCGCATATTGATGGCAGGGCAATATAACTGTGTGTTCGCAGTTCTAAACACATGGTGTTTCTGGACAGTCTCTGTTTCTGATACCTTGCTTTTTGTGTTTTTTTCTTTCTTGAATAACATTGCAAATAACTATCAAACTTGAATATATAGTATGCCATAACCATTTGTTTTTTTTCTTTTCCCCTCTGAGTGTAAACTACTTTTGAATTGCATAATTGAAAAGCAGTATATAAGTATATAAACAAATAAATAAAACAATCTTCTGACCAGTTGCGTAGCAAACCAGTAGCCATAATTTGGTTTAGAAAGCAAATATAACATTTTTGCAATTAATGTATTTAATATTGAAATTTACATTTTTATCATATTTAATGCACTGACGGTTAAACCTGTATTGTGTAAAAAATGTAAAAGAAATCCATCATTGTGTGTTTTTATTCTAATTGGGGACCATGAGCTGTATTCATCTAAAATCTGCCAAATTCAAGAAGAGTAAAAGAAACTATTTCCTTTCATTTGTTTAACATCACTATAAAATTATGGTACGTCATACTTTCCAGTTATTCCAGTTAATCAGTCTATGGAGTAACATTTAGCAGTTTGGAGTAAGGTACTTTGTATTTTGTAGTTATTGTATATAAATAACAAACAAATTTTCTAACATTATTCTTTCACTTGCTTATTTCAGGACCAAGAAGAAAACAAAGGTGCCACAAGTTGGCCTGAGTTCTACATTGATCAGCTTAACTCCATGGCTGCTGTAAGTGGAATTCTTAGAAGATCTTTCCTTTTTAGATAAGACAGAAGATAATTTCTAAGAACGAACAGCACAGCTCTGTGCCGTGAAAGAATTTTTTAACCTTAATTTGAAAGAACTTATATATATTATACATTATTTTACAATATTTATTACTGATATTATTTATTTATATCCTTTTTGGGAAAGGATCATAAACTATGCAGGGCATTGAAGCATTGCCTACAGTTGCCTTTTGATCTTCAGCTGCCGTAATAGGCATGTTTTCAAGATTGAGCAGCTATTCAGAGGGGCTAGAAATGTGTTTATTTTAAAAATGAACATTAAATTTTTTTAAAAGCAAAAATGCCCACACTGTGCTTTTGTTGAATCACTGGTGTGCAGTCATTAAGGCCATTCATTGACTTGTGTACACCAGCTCTCCTGCAACAATTTTGCTGCATTTTCTGTAAAGTATTCCTTTGATCTATTCACAAATCTTCTGTCATGTACTGTGCTGTTGAAAAAATCAGTCTACACATATAAGGGCTTTCCTGTGCTAAGAGTGGTGCAGGGGGCATTAGCTTCAGCTTGTGATAATTATCATAGAAGCCAAGGGTGATTAAACACAAAAAAGGTGAAGGTTGTATTGAAAAGTTCAAGATAGGCTCTCCCTCCAGCTGTCTAAGCAGCAATAGAGCCAAAGTGCCACTTGTGTTTGCAAATGGGGGGTGGGGAGTATTTGTTTCTGCCGACTTTTCTAAGGAGTTCAGTAAAAGTCCCTTGATTAATGAGAAGAGACCCAGATTAACTTTAAGGGAGCTTACTTACAGACTGTTGAATGTTACTTAGTCATGCAACAGAAGTGAGCACCTGAAAAGGAATGTTTACAGAGAGTTGTAGAGGGCTTCTTTCTGGAGGCAGTACAAGCCCATATGTGGAATTATAATCCAATAATGATTTCCATGTTGAATTGAATTCTGTATCAGATTTGCTTCTCAAATATGAGGTTATTTTTGACATCAGTGCATACATCCACAATGTAATTTGTCAATCTTCTGTGGAAGGAAGTATACATAATTTCCAACATGAAGTCCAAAGAATCCTTGAAGTTGTGACTATATACAGAGCCATTTTGTTATACTTGGTGGGAGTATGAGGTTTAGTAATGATTAGCAGAATAGTAGGTTGGAAAGAGAATTGTTTCACTGAAGGCTATGGATTGAATCTACCACATGTGTCCAGCTTGGGTTGACAGACAGATGTTTCTCAACTTCCCAGGCTAGAGCTAAGAGGGAGTGAGTGGCCTAAAGTCATCTAGATGGCTTCCATGCCTATGAGGACTAGAACCTGGGTCCCTCCAGCACCTTACCTACTATGCAATACTGGCTCTCAATGAATAAATAAAACTATATATATATTCATTAAAATGTATTCAAAAATATATTGTTTATACTCTTTTACATTGCAGCTTGTCCAAGAAGTGCACTTACTTGAGTTTTTTAAACAGGTCTGACTAGATATATTTTAATTGAACAAATACATTTTCATTAAAGAAGAAGAAATTTAAAAACTTGCTGCTATACTGGTATGCAAATGCTTTAGCAGTGAAAGATTGGGTCTAGCTGGCAGTTGTGAACTTCATATTTTGGTTATGTTGAGAAGATGTGTGTGCCTGTGTGTGTGTGTGTATTCTTCCCCCGTGGTAAAGTCAAGCATTTTGGACATAATTGAAAATTTAGGTTTCTTAGATATGAGTGATACTCAGTTGGAACAATAAATGCCTTGTAAATATTCGGTGTTGCATATAACACACTTCAGTTGTAGTTAAAGAAAATCTTACTCTGTTGAATCTTACCAGTAAATTGCTGGCATGAAAGAATGACATCATTGGTTAAGCCAGCATTGTCCAAACTTGGCCACTTTAAGATGAGTGGACTTCAACTCCCAGAATTCCCCAG